TCACTGCTTATTATAATACATATTTAATTATAATAGATTTTATATTATAATTTCATTTCAAAAATTTCTTGAAACTACAAACATTAATAAATTTTGATAAATCTCATAGTGTTAAAATCTAATGAATATATTTAACTAAAAGTTGAACAAAGTATTGAGAAAATAACAGTTTTCATAACATGGAAAAAAAGTAAATATATATCATGTTTTTAGATCTTTGGTTATTCATTCATTGTAAGATATAACATCAACAAATGCTAATATATGAATAAGTTAATTATTATTAATCCTTTTTATTATTATAACTTACCAACCAATACAATAGTTAATGTAATCAAACTGCAATATTTTACTCAAGATGAATTTTATTATGATTCTTACCTGCATTTCTTTCAAAACAGGATGATTATCAAAATTAGGAAATAACACTTTCATTGCATAAGTTCGATAATCAAGAAATGGAATTCCACCAGATGTTAAGTCACTTGTCAAATCTGTCATTTCTGTTTGTAGCTCAGCAAATGCTGGAAAATAAATATTTAATATATATAAAATGGGAGTTCATCCTTAAATGTACAGTCAACCGTGTGCTGGGCTGTGAATGGCTCACATATTTGTAAAATTTAAGTGACTCATACAATATGGAATTCATATAAAATGGAATTATCAACAGTGTTATAGGGGGCCTGTAGTTTATTAAAAAAACTTTTGTAAAATTATTTTTTAAACCTACCTTCTTTACATTCACTAGCAACTCTTAATTCTAAAACATCCATTTGTTCTTGCATGTTTTTCAAAACACGGCTGCTTTCTGTTGATTTTCTACGATATGCAATCAATATTAAGATGACTATTAACAGTAAAATGCATCCTCCAGCAATTACACCAATAATAACAGGTTTAGAAAGAGTGCTATCTTGACCAGCAGGAATTTCATAACTCAACTGACCAATGGTAAATTTGAGTTTACTTCCAACTTCAACCTATTAAATTAAATTTTCGTTAAATTCAAAATTTTTCATATAATTCTAAATAACTTGCTACTCATTTACTTTTTATTAGAATGTTCATACATATAATTTAAAGTAATCAAATAAACTTTACACTAATATAATTAATTTTTTGTATTCATCTTATCTCAAATTTTTCAGTTAAAATTTTTATAATCTATAATAAAGTAAATACTTGTGTGACCATATTGTCAGTTTTTAGAAGTCAATATTTAACTTTAATGAATGATTATTTGAACGTTTTCAGGAATTTTCCAGCTTCAGCTTTAAGTGTTTTACAATACTTAAAAACAAAAAATATTTTATAATTATTTTATCACTATAAATATTGTATATATTAATTTTGAAATGGAACTGAAGAATACTAAACAAGAAATTTTCTGAGAACACAAAGTGATAATGAAGTAGAAATATATTGTAAATGTGTATTATAAATTAAAATCTATTGCAATAAAATTTATGTATCTAGAATCTAACATAGTCTTTGAATCTTATATTTTTGGTTTCCTTAAATACAATATATAAACAGCATTATAATATTAATTATCATTCTATCAATAAGAAATAATACAAATTAATATAAAGTTATTACTATAACATAAGGTATCTTCTTATTATCAGGACTGCCATTTAAACCTCTTGCTGGAGGCTGTGAAGTTGGTGGTCGACACGTCAACTGAGAACGTGATAATGATGTAACATTACAAAATTCAGTTCCAATACGCACAATAACATCAATTTCCTGAGAAGCACGATCCAAATTTTTACCCTGAAATATTTCAATTAAAGTTTTTAATACTAATAAGTTGTTTGTTTCATATAATAAGAAATTACTTACATTAATTGTCAAATAATCACTTTTGTAATATTTTATATGATCTTTTTCACTAAATGGTTCATATTTAGGATCAGGATACATTTGAAATTTAGGAAATTCAGGTTTACTACTTATGTTTCTAACTTGTTCCACATTATCCATTTCAAATCCATAATCAAGTTCCAAAATTTCATCTTCCTTAACAGCATAAGGTATTGGAGGACTTTCACATTTCATTTCCTTTGGAGATTCAACTTTACAATTCTATAAGAAGATATATTAAATTGAAAACTATAATTTACTATTTGAGCATTTAACTTTTATCATAATTAGTTTAATTAATTTTTAATTTCCTTTTATACCTGAATTGGAAATCTCCTGTTAATATACTATAGCCTAATGAAAGTTTTGAGAGAAGTATATACTTTATAAATATAAACATTTTGTAAATACATCAAACTCCCCATGCATATCTATGCTAATTAATGCATGAGTATACATGAAAAACTGAAAAACACTGATATCTAAATAGCCCTCTAAACTGTAAAGACTATTCTGAGGTTTTAAATGAACTACAGTAATTACCACTCAACCGCATTATAACAACCATGCAAATATGAGTCCCATGTTCTATAAGCTGAAATGTATAACTAGTCAATAAACATAAAAATAGATTTCTTATATTTTCAAAAATATCATGTAAAATTTAAATTTTTTCCAAATTACTGCATTTTAATTTTAGGATATTTTTTCAAAACTTATTTATAGTACTAATTTTTCCTACTGCAAAATAATATTCTAGAATCACCTCACTTATGTCCCTTAGAATAGACAATTGAGGGAAAAAAGAAAAGTGTCATTTTACAGTAATTCTAATATTTTGATGATACACAGATAATCTGAGCACAATAATAGGGAGTTTTAGTATATTCATTTAAATGCTAACATTTGAAGTAACTTCATGAAAACCTTGATATTTGTAATTTTTTTATATTTTGTATTTTGTAATTTTAAAGAATCGTATTTTATTATTCAAAATATTAGAAAAAACAATGTCTTATGTCAAAAAATAAATTTTATTATATTAAACAAAATAAACATTACTAATTTTAATTAAAATTTTTCAACTATTTTGTAAAAATTTAATAGAATGTAAAAAAAATCTATGCAATAATTTTAATAACACACTGGTATCTCATATTTTGAATGACTAACATCAAATATTCCAGAGTTCAAATAATAAATTTGAGAAAAGAAATTTGACCTGAAGTTGGAACAATGCTTCTACATTCAAGCTGCATATGCAGTGATAAAATGTGCTCACTGCTTAAACACCATCTGTTGTGCACCCAAGTCATCTTTTGCTCTAGTCATGAAACTATCTCTTGCACTATGCCTGTGTTTTCAGTGCTTTTTTCACTTTATTTTTGGTGTATATAGTTTTATATATATAACTATACACACTAATATATATATATATATAACCCCTACCTATTAACCATGGCATCCAAGAAGTGTGTGGAAGCAATGAAGCCTAAGAGGAAGGCTGTAGTATCAGTGCTTTTTTCACTTTATTTTTGGTGTATATAGTTTTATATATATAACTAAACACTAATATATATATATATATAACCCCTACCTATTAACCATGGCATCCAAGAAGTGTGTGGAAGCAATGAAGCCTAAGAGGAAGGCTGTAGTATCAATAATTGGGATTAAAAAAAAACTTATCACAAAGCATTAAAGTGGTACATATACACATGTGAGTACATGTACCACTTTAATGCTTTGCAATAAGTTCTTTTTTTAAGATACCAAAGTCAACAGTGTGTACCATTCTTAAGAACAAGGAAGTAATAAAAGCAGCAAATGTGAAATGTAAAGATGTGACAATGTTGAAATCACATGTTATTGAGATGGAAAAACCCTCCTAGTACGGCTAAATGAGAAGGCTGGTGATGTCTCCAAATGAATTACTTGTAAGAAAGCCAAGCAGCTGCATAGTAACCTTAAGAAATATGAAATCATTCCTCACTAAAGTACAATAAATGCAATTTTCTGTTATTATACAGTACTTAAGTATTTTATTTATTGTTTTCATGTTTTAAATTTATTATTTAGGGCATTTAATTGCCTTTTTACCTTAAATTATGTTTATCTGCTATTTAGGTTTATTGGACTGGGTATTGTTTAGGTTTGGGAAAGGATTAACTAACTTTCCATTATTTCTAATGGGAAAAACTGATTTTGACTTCAAACAGCTTCCTGAAACAAATTAAATTTAAAGTACAAGGCACCACTGTATATGAAAATATAATAATAAAATCTAAAAATAAATAAATTTTCCTTATATTATTAGTACTTTTGTTTTGGATAAGTCACAAGAAAACAAAACTTAACTTTATCTTAAGAATAACAAACACAAAAAGCAAATTTTCATTGATTTAAGACAACACAATACTACGATTCTATCATTATGAAAATTTATGTTATTCATTATCAAAATAAAATAAAAACTTACACTTTCACTTCTATATTCTTCACCTTCATACATTACATACATCTTAGGTGCAACAACTGCATTTAAATTTGTTCCTTTGACTGTTATCATTATCCCACCACTAAAAAATAAAATGAAAATGAATGTGTAGTAAATATAGTCTATAACATGATCATTCAGTTTAAAGAATTTTAATTCCAAAATATATGCATAATTTGACTATATTTTAACAAAATACACACACACACACATAATATTTTTTAAAACTAGTAAAATGAAAATTCATAAAATTAATAAAAATTTTATTAAATACCTACACTGTTGTTAAATAACTAATTACAAATATTTCAAAATAAATGTGCAATTATAAAATACCTATTTATAAAAGTCTAAAATACACAGATTAGTCAAAACCAGTATACTTAAATTAATTAGTACCGACATGCTTAAAGAAAAACAACAAATATTAATAACAAATGTGATGAATTAAAATATTTGTGTAATTTCTGATATAATAATATAAACATTTTGTAAAAGATATAGTTAGTATAAAAAACTGGCATACAAAATGAGGCAAAAATTACTTGACAGTTAGGATGTATATAGCAATGCACAATTAAATAAAATAAAAATCTGAAGTAGAGTTATATTTTACATAGGTATACAAATATTCAAACAAGTAACAAATTCAACTATTACAGATACATGTTATAATCTTTTCAATAGAAGACCAGCATCAATCACTATCAAGTGATTTTTGTCTCACCCTACATATTTATAAAAAAAATTTAATTTTAAATAATTTTAAAATTTGCAAATGTACAGAAAATTTACAACAATTTGTAGTAAGAACATTATAGTAAATTATTTTGTTTATGTAATTAACAATCAACATTACAATTATGAAAATAAAACAGATGTTGATTAATTATAATGGATATTCTATAGATATTAAATAGTAACAAATAAGCCTTAGCTATACTGTACAGTACAGTACAGTACAATATTACACTGTAAATAAGCAATTGTATCATTATCAGTTTTGTCTTTGTAACAACTAAAATTAAAATAGTGATCCACAAAGAAATATTTTCAAAGCAAAGCAATCTTTTATATATAAAATATTTAAGTGCAAATTAAATTTTAAACATTTTAATAAGTTATCATTTTAAAATTTTTTTAGTATAATATAATTTATTATTATGTAAATAAAATTATCCTAACCTGAAAAAGAATTTCACTTCAAACACTTCTTTATACAGAAAATCCCAATATATAATAGTTATTATTGTTCATTTTACAAACTTACAAAATTTTCAAGAACAAAAATCCTAGTATATCTTACAAACCAATACTTCAGTAATAAGACAATTATGGATTAAATTAATTACATTCATTTTACAGTAACTTTTAAACAAGTATTTATATTTATTATTACTTTTTAAAAGTTCTTACCTTGGAATGCCTTTGGGAATGCCTCTTTGGCCACTTGGTCCAGATTCAATAGAAGAGATGGTAGGATTATCAACATATTCAAATTCTTTTTCATATACTCTCAATCCATTATCAAATTTCATTCTTACGGTACCTTTCTTAACATTATGAGCAGGTGATGTAATGCATTCTGCTACTTCTGGTTCTCTTCTGTAAAAATATTAATAATAATAATGCTAAGACTGAATGTCTTTAAAATTACAAGTTATTTCAGATGACTGACAATTTTTGTATAGATTGATTCTTTTTATTATTAATATCATAAAATCAATCTATACAAAACACAAATTAACTCTCATAATTGATAAATGGCCATTCTATTAAAATGAATACCTCAAAATTGTTCACTAAAACTACAAAATAACTTTAAAGATAATAAATAAAAAAAATCTATCTGTTAAACATTTTTTTCTGTGAGATGTAAAGTGTAACTAATTGTTAAAACAAATCAAAACTATCTGTTTGGGTTTTTGTTTATAAATTGTATGACTGGAGGATTGATAATGAAAATGTTACTTATGAAATAAGGTGCTCTTTTTAAAATTAGTTTGGGAAAAGATAGAACAATGTAACTAGATTTAAAATCAATTTAAAATAATTTATCTTAATCATACATATTATCTATATTTACAGTAATTTTATTTTGTTTCAATTTTTATCAATCTTTTCCTTTGAGATAAAAAGGGATGCGTGTCAGAATTTATTCTTACTTAAAATATAACTGTTGCAGTGAATCCAAACTAAGGCATCTAAAATTTTAATTTACAAATTATATAATAATATCATACCTTATGATATGACATGGCAAACCACCAACATTTGCTTCAACACTACTGCCAGCATCCATATGTCTTCCCCAGATAAGTAAATGTGTTCCACCAGATTTAGGACCAGCAGAAGGAGTAATATTAACAATCCTTGGATTCTGTAGAAATTTTAATTTTATTAAATATTGTTTAAAGTATAATTTTAAAAATAATCACAGAAAATTATTTCAATTACATAAATAAACAGATTAAAAGTTTACTAATACAGTAATACCTCAACTTACGCGAACCCAGAGTTACGCGATTTTCAAATCTCATCGATTCGTCTTTTGTTTGAGCGCCATGCAACTCTTGATTACTCACCCCCCCACACTATTGTTCAGCTTACATGTTCAGACGTGTCACGCAGAATCGACACATAGCTACAATTTATTTTGTGTTATTTAAAAGAATTATGTAAGAACAGAATGTCTTAATTCAGTTCTTACATAATAGCTTTTCAGTTTGTTCAGTTGTTACCAGTTTTGCTAAGATTATAAAAAAAAAATCACAGCTAAAGTTATCTGGTATAAAACAAAAATTTGAACTTTGCAAAATGCAAAAGAGGGTGCTGGTTTATTGGAGATTCTTGATTATTGGGTACCAAATTAATGAGTTTCTACTGTATTTTACCTAAAGATAAATAAAACCTACTAAGATAAAATATAGTAGTCCTAATGTAAATAATACCACTAAAAAAAACTAAGACAAATTATGTTTTTGATATACTTGTAATATTTTCTTGAAAATTAATTTAAAATTTGGTTCTAAATCTGAGAATGGCAAGAAATTCAAAACTCCATAAGCCAACACATACACAAATGACAGATACAAATTTTTACACTGCAAAAATGTAAAGAATTGCATTTTATATTACTTTTTCAAAATTGACTTACATTATTACATAAAACTGAACTGAAATATAATGTAACACATTAAGGAATTAAATATATGCAGAAGTTTTTCAAAGAATAACCTTGCTAAGAATAATAACCTAAGTTTCATCTTATGTAGTCTGTTTTAATTAAGAGGCAAAGATCAATGCATTCAAAATACTTTAATCATATTTGTTATAGCAACAATACTTTTCAGGATTGAAAAAAATCATCCCCTCTTCAAGCTACAAATAATGTACACAGTCAACATTAACAATTAAAAAAACATTGTAGCCTGAAGAGGGATAATTTTTTCAATCCTGAAATGTGTTGCTGCTAAAAAAAAGTGTGATTAAAGTACAGTAGAGCATCGTTTATCCGAATCAATTGGGGAATGGGGTTGTTCGGATAACTTATTTTTCAGATAACCGATTACGTACGAAAAAATATACAGGTATACCTCACCTTAAGTCGGTAATTGGTTCCAGGAGAGGTGACATAAGTCGAATTTACTTTCCGAATCTACTTTTCACTAGGCTAAACCATAAATTACCATTCCCGGTTCTGTATTTTATTTATTAATGCATTTTTAATAATATATGGTTAATAAGAATCTATTTTAAGCTTACAAACAAATAAATTTTAGTTTTTAATATAGTACAGAAAAAAGTAATCTAAATTTACAAATGCATGTACTGTAAATACAATATATACTTGTAAATGTATCTATTTTAATATGATTTTGTGTGTTTTAAACATTTTTCTAGTGATATTACAACTTCAATATTTGTGGCGGACAGACATAACGTCAAATAAAATGACTTAAACTTGATTTTTATTTTTCCATATACTTTTTTGACAAACAATGTATAATCAGAAACAACATAACTCGAAATGACGTAAGTTGAGGTATACCTGTATTAACCTATCCCGTGTTGAAATTTTTCTCCATTGTGTGTTGCTTTGCGTTGAATTTCGTTGATGTTAAGCCTAATGTAAACTTTTTAAAATAATAATCGTGGCTAATGTATCATTAAAAATTATTTCTTTATTTTTTAAAAACAAAATAAATATATTGAAAAATATAAAAACAAAAAAAATTATACTTTAGAAGTTAATCTTGTACCAAAAACGTTTGATTCAGCACGACACACAGTCCTCATAAAAACACCACACAAAAGTGTCAGTGCTGCCAGCTAAAACACACACCAACAAAAAAAATATTGGAGTAGGCCAAGATATAGCCAAAGATTGCAGCGCCACAGCACTAGCAAAAATTTAAATTTGCCGACTGGAATTCTTTCGGATAACTGATTTTCATCAGATAAATGACGCTCTACTGTATTTTGAACGCATTGATCTTTGTCTCTTGATTAAAACAGACTACATAAGATAAAACTTGCATTATTAGTCTCAGCAAAGGTTATTCTTTAAAAAACTTTTGCATATGTTTAATGAAAAAGTCTGCCATTGCAATTTAGTTGTCTAAATTGTTGTGTGTATATATTAAGTAATCTTTCACAAAACACATTTTTTGAATAAATTTTATATGCAAGAAAAATATTTAATTGAAAATATATGTTAAACTTACCACAAAACTATAGTTGAACCTAGACTGAGCTTTGTAATCATTCAAAACTTTAACAAAAACATAACCAGATATTTGTCCAGTAAGTAGACCAGAACTTACATTATGCAAACTTTCAACTTGGCAAACAATTCTAAATAAATAAATTATGTTTAATGAACAAAATCCATATTATTTCATATAGCTGAAAATAAGTAAAAGTCATACGTTGTTGTTTTTTCATACAGTTCTTTATATGGTATACAATTTGCTATTACTTTTCCATCAGCTTGAACAATCTTTACACCACCATTAATGTCTGCAAATGTGCGACCCAAATTAATACCTGTGATGGTGATATTTGTTCCACCTTCCCAAGGTCCTGATATCGGTGTAAACTAGAATAATTTTCAATAATTAACATATAAATGTAAATCATGTTTAATTAACTATGTATTATGAGTACCTTAGTAATTTGAGGATTAGGACAAGTCTGATGACTGTCTAACCATAGTAAAGAACTATTACATTGTCCACGAACTCGACAAGATCCAATACCATCAGAACACCAACCACATTTATATTTAGAATGTAATTCTAAACAAATTCCACAATTTGTTGCCATTCCTTCACATCTATATACCAATACTAATTAAAAAATAAAAATATAATATCAATATTTTAGTGAAATACTATAAAATATTATAATTTTAATACTTACCACGAATATTTTCTGGATTATCTAAAGGTTTTGATCCAGCCCAAATAACAGCAAATGATGCAGTTACATTTGGTGATTGTGTACCAAAAGAAAACTAAATTTCAAATGTCAAAATTATCCATTATAAGAGTAAAATCTAAGATTTATGGATTTATAATTTATTTTACTTACCATCATTGGTTCACAATGTATGTTTTCACCAATAAATTGAGCATGAACTTGTCGAACACGACCTTCAATGTTAAACTGACACACAAACGTAGTTTGTAGAAGAAGTGGCTGCAAACAACAAAATATTTTTATAAAAATATTCTGAATAGAATAACTTTCTGTAATTATTTACCTGTGTATTTTCTACTTTAACTTCAATACTTTTGTTTTCACCAGATGGTACTAAAATAACAGGTGAACTTCCATTTGTTGTATTAATTCTTGGGCAAAATCCAGGACCTGATCTTATACTTGGACCAATACTCTACATAATCATATATTAATAATCATTAACAATATATTAAATAAAAAAGAATTATATATGTAATTTAATAATATCTTATAATATATGCATACTTAAGAAAACAAAAGTTAAATATGACTTCAAAAAATAATAATAAATAAAATACTTTCTTGCAAAAGTAATTCACTATTAAGATTTATAGCTTTTCCATTCCATTATGAAGATATTTCTAATTATTAAAAAAATTAAATACTTACAGATACACCAGTCACAAGTATGTCATTACGACAATTTTCTCCAGTGTCATGTGTACAACGATGACCTTGAACACACCAATCACAAGGAAAGGGACTTGACACACATTGTGTACAACTAACAAATTCATCATTCAAAAATTTATAATTTAATATTAAACATAACTTCTTTCACAAACAATTTATTTAATAAATTTTAATATCTTACGACGTATGCGTGCTGCAATCATAAAATGTGAAATTCGTTGAAACAAATTCAGGTCCTATCCTTTTTCTTACTGATAATTTAGCTGTGATATGATCTAAAAAAATTTTAAGTAAAACATTTATTATTAAATTCAGATATAATTAAATAAATGTATAAAATTTCTGATTTTTTGAAATTATTTAAATTTTGTTAAATTTTACTTCGTATGATCTATGTATAAAAATATAATTATCTCTCGTTGTACTAAATCTATATATAATTTACTTTAATTAAAATAAACAGTTGAATAAAATCAAAACTTTTCTAAAGCAAAGAAAAAAGTCTTCTGGATTATATCAAACTTACAATACAGTAGAACCTATTTAAGAAGTTCCCACTTGAGAGGTTTTCCCAGCATAAGAAGTTCAATTTCTCTGGTCCTGGCATTTACACTATAAGATATATGGTAAAATTTCCCATATAACATATAAGACATTCCAAAATATTGATCCCATTGACAATATTTTCCCACTTAAAAAGTTTTTGCTGGAGAAAAATTGTAATCTTTTTCCTCACCATAACTTAGTAAAGTTTTAGTAAAGTAACTCCAGATGTTCACTATATTATATATCAAACATCTGTATCCGAGATGGTTGTTAAATTATCTGGAGTCTTATTGTTTTGACCATACTCCCTATCTGATTCTATCTATTAACTATTGACACAAGTCATTTCATCACTTTCTGTAGTCAGTGTATTGTACTATTCTATGTTACATTACTAACAGACTGTAATGTAGAAAAAAATTATAAGACCACTACATTTTTTGTTTTCTCAAAATTAACAATGTTTAATGGTCAATTATTATTCTCAACAAAGTAAATACAAGAAATAATCACATTTTTGAACAATTAGTTCCACAATAAGAAAATTGGTTGAAAAAAAATCATCCTCACATAATTACAGGTGTATTTTTTATCTGATAACTCAGCAGAACACATCCATAAGAAAGATTTCATGTGAAATTGGGGCAAAACTTTCACATAATTGTTTGGAAAATATTAAGGAAAAACAAGAAAGCAAACTATATAAAACTAAAAGGTAAGTGCAAATTGACTGAGGCACAGGAACAAGCAAGATTAGAATGAGCCAAGAAGCATAAATCCTGGACCAAAGGTAAAACAATGTGGTGTTTTCAGACAAAAAGAAGTTTAATCTTGACAGTCCAGATGGGAATAATGCATACTTACATGACTCGCACAAGGCATTTAAAGAATTTTTTAGTAGAAAAATGGGTGTAGTCTATCATATTATCATAGTTTGGGTAGCATTCTGTTATGATGCTAATAGGGATTGTAAATTTACCGACTTTTTCATTTACTGGTATTTCAGTAAATTAAAATTAAAATACCGGTTTACCGGTAAATTATTTTCTTGAACAATAAAATTAAGGTGATAAAAAATATAAGTCATTATGATTTCCATTTCACATTTTTTATTTCAAAGATAACAAATATATAAAATATAAAAACTAAAGTGTTATTCTAAACAAACTATAATAATAAATATAGAAATAAACAGAAATAAAATAATACAGAAAAATAAAAATATAACAGAAATAATATAAAGTACCTAATACCATTTTATTGATTATCATGTTTTAAAATTAACTTCTCAAGAAACTTAAATTATTTATAGTCCTAATTTTGATCTAATTTTTGTACAAAATAATCCAGATCCCGGGAATATCCTTTCTGATTCAACACTTGTTGGACGAATGATCATTAAATTAAAATTAAACAAAAAATATCTCGCATAAAATTAATAATTAGGTATATTGTTGCTTACACTTACTTTTTTTTTTTTTTTTTTCAGTGTCCCTTTAGCCCTTTTAAATATCTATAAACACAATATTTTCTACATAGAAATTTCTAGTATGGATTTTTCATTTACCTAATTACCGGTAAATTTCAAAAATTTACCGGTAAGTTTACAGAATGTTTTTTTGTCAATTTATCGGTAAACCGGTATACAATCCCTAGATGCTAAATTTAATTAATTTTTAATTTAATGCTAAACTTGTTCTTGTGAACAAGTTTAGCATTAAATTAAAATCTGAAAATTATCAGGTGTTATTGTAAGAACATTTGCTCCCATTTAGATCACATTTTAGAGGAAGAAAATGGTACAGTAGATCCCCCTATAAAACCGTTTCCTATAGTTATGATTCCTATAAAAATTGTGGCAGTATCCGTAAACAACGGTAAAAATAACTCCTATAATACGTAAAACGTCATCGGGCAGCCGAACTACTTTCCCGCCGTCCGTAGCGCCACGCTACGGACGTTTAGGCGGATAAATTGAGTTTAGTATCGTCTGTTCATATAATTATATATAAATTAGGTACTGTACATATAATTATATATTAATTATATATAAATTAGGTACTGTATATATAATTATATATTAACTTAATTTATTGTAACTTTATTATAATTAAATATATATTTTTCGCCGTCTAGCGTCACGCTACGGCGAGTTAGGCGACCTATCGTCTGTCCAGTACTGTAATTTTATACATTTCTTGTGAAAGAAACATTTCTTATTTAACGGCCATAAAAATTATTTATATTAAGGATGTCTCCAAAGGTCAACGAAGTTTTCGCAGAAAAATAATATCAGAAATCGCGGCCGCGGTTTGATGCGCTGTTCCGCGACGAAACCAAGCTTTAGCAACGGGCGTAGTCGAACGGTACACACTCGGTAAGCAATCCTACAATTTTTTGTTTATAACGTAGTTTATACGGATTATTTTCAAAAAAATATACGTATTTTGGAAATGTTGAGTCGAATTAGTCTAGAATCGATTAATTTTATGAAAGAAAACCTTTCAAACAGCCGTAGTCCGTAAACTATGATTCCTACAAAATTGATTCATAAAGAACGGGACGTATCTACCGTCTTATAGGGGGATCTACTGTACTACCAACAAGACAATGTCACCTGTCATAACTCAAAGGCAACTCAAGACTGGTTTAAGTCAAAGAAAATTAATGTTTTACCTTAGCCATCAAGAAGTCCTGACTTATATCTCTTTGGAAACTTTTGAGGATTTTAAATCAGAAGGCATATATAAACAATTGCCAATTTTCAGGTGTTCAAAACTTGAATGTAAAGTTATGAACCAATGGAATAATATTGATAATAATCAACTAAAAAAATTTGTAGAATCAATGCCAAACAGGTTGTTAAAAGTGATATGAAGAAATAGTGTAACATTCAATTATTAATTAACCAAAAGTTACTTCTCAATATTTGTTTTCATAGTGATCATATAATTTATTAAGAATGCAAATTTGACTTCTGTAAAACTAATAACTAAATGCGTTAAGATTATTTAACTAATTGTTTGACGCTTTGTTTGTTTGTTTTGTTAAGTTATGACAACACTACACTTGGGTGATCTGCCTAAGGAAAATGTCTTCTGGGAGGTCTTTTTAAGGGTAACTGGTACCTATTCAGGTATTACATATATGGAGAAAACCTGGTGATTTCACATGGCCAGACCATCTGGGCAAGGCATGAACCCACAACCAAACTTCCAGTGTTCAGGGGACAGAACAGCTTGGCTACTGACAGGCCACTTTATTGTTGAAAACTTGATTATTTATTGTATTTACTTTGTTGAGTATAATAACTGACCATCAAAGATTGTTAATTTTGAGAAAGATAAACAAATGTAGTGGCTTATAATTTCTTAGCAGACTGCATATTAGCTTGATATTCAAATAAAACTGATTGTACAGATAATAAACTATTTGCTTACAATTCCTGCATAATAGTTTTCCCACCTAAGAAGTTCTTTTAGAGTAGTCCTTTCAAAAACTTCTTAGCAGGGTTCTACTGTACTATTATTAAGAAGTATATTCATGGAATTAATGAAAAATAAACTTGATATTCTCTGAACTTTTAAAAATTTAATTCAAACTTACGTTGACCAGGTGGAATGGATGGAAGAGAATCTGTGTGTGGAGTTGCACAAGTAATTCCATTGGTTGATCTAGTGGCATTTGTTGTTAATGTTTTGCCCATGATTGTAAATGCACAAAAGAACTGACCTTCTAACACAGGAAGATTATCAATGATTAAAGTTAGCTGAAATTAGAAATATTTTATTTTTATTATCAACTAAATTGAAAATTCTTTTTACATTAATATACCATAATGTTCTAAGAAACTTGACACTATTTTAACAAAAATTTATATGATTACTGATTAATGATACAAAATTCCAAAGGAAAACATTTTTCAAATAAAAAACTGTTTTTGGCTTCCTTAATCAGCAGTCATAAGAATTTTCATATTAATATACTTCTTTGAGTATATAGAATTGCTTTTCTGTTTTTAGCACAAATTTCACATTATTATAACAACTTAATGCTTACTTAATTTATATTTTGCTTTTTAATGGTAATTTGTCTGTTTTTAAATAACAAATTAAAATTTGTGAAGTTAAAAAGAAACTTATTCTTATTTTCATCATCATAAATAAACAAAAAATATTTAATTAATTTGGGATTGATTTATTATATTTCAATCATCATTTTAGTTTGTAATTTGTATATTTAAATCTGAAATTAAATTGCTGTTTGATTTGAAACTATATGTTTGTAAAAATGAAATCAATTGTGTAAATGAATTATATCATCAATCCTGAATATAATTAAGTGTAAAGTTGACTATAAAATAACATACCTTTAATACACCTTAAATCTCTAGTACAAAACAATAATAAAACTGACCTAATATTTTCATAATTGTAAAGTCAATTAATGTTCCAATATTTGGAATGGTAATTGACCTGAAAAAATCTTAATATTAGATCAAAAACATTAGTCAGTTTTATTGTTGTTTTGTACTGGAGATTTAAGGTATTAAAGGAGTGTTATTTTACGGTTTATATGTATCCAGTTTTCAATAGTAGAGAAAGACAGTAAAGTTGATTATTATTATAAATAGCAGCCAGATGTTAATGTAGCAGCCTATTATTCTGGGAACCTGGGATCAAATCTGGATGGATCAAAAAACCAAGGAATTTTTCAGGGGGGTTTGTGTGAATATGATAGGTCCCCTTCCCTCACTATCTGGCATCCCATTATGGGCCTCACAAAACCAATAATGGGCTTGTTAAAAAGGCCCTCTTAGTGCCCACAGAGAAGAAAAAAATTAAAAGTTATAAATGAAAATATTCTATAAATAATAGTTTTATAAATATGATTGATATTACAATTCACTTTCATAATCTATAACTTATCTCATTAATAAAATTTTTTTTAGCATAATAAATTAAAATGTATGATTTTATGGCCATTGTGAGGAGGAGGGGAAGTTAGAGATTTTTTCCAGACCTGGAAAAAATTTAGAGGCCTGTAGTAGTTTCTACCCCTAAAAATTAATGTTACTTTTACTAAGAAAAAATAAAATCTTTAAGACTTCTATTTATTAATAAAGGAGCATTTTATATACTTTATTATTTTATTTGTTCAAAAAAAGGGATCCACTAAGAAGCAAAAGAGAGACAGTCCATCTCCAGGCCTCATACAAAGCTTTTGATAGTCCTGTGTGCATCACAATGCATACAGGGGCTGTCAAATGCTACTTAAGTTTACAATTTAATTTATTTATGAAACTAATTAGCTCTATTTCAATTCTAAACAGACAAATTAACTAATAAGAATGACAACAACAAATATTAAATAATCATATATAAATATTTTGTTGCTACTACATATTGAAGGAAATATAGAATTATTGATTAAGTCTACAGTATATCTGTAGGCATGTCAACTTTCTCTCAAAAATCATTTAACGAATCAATCATACTATCAAGTTTTACATAAATATTTTATAAAACATAAAATTCAGATTTTGTTAATTTCTTTGATGTAATGTTAACTACTTAATTATGTAATTATTATTGTTGGAAAAATATCCTAAAAAGTTTTTAAATTGTAATATAAAAAATAATTTCTAATATTTACTTACTATTCGAGCAGTTGTGCGTTGAATTTGTGGTGGCTGAACTTCAGTTATTGTTGTGCATTTTCCATTTTTATAGGATAGCCAATAATTTGCATTTTGAGCAGCATCTTCACAATCACTACGTAAACTACATTTATTTTCTAATGAGCACCATCCACAATATGGATCTTTGGCACCAAGACATTCATTGCAAGTATTAAAAATATGACATCCTTGCACTTTCATCATTGTTACCTTAAGAAATTTATATTTTAATTATTTTGAAATATTTAAAATAATTATAATTATTAGATAAACTGAGATCATACTCTATTTTCAGTCATAACGTAGATATGTTTGTCTTTATGAAACAACATATCAGGATTAACTGAACTTCCTTCGTCAATTACAATATCACTGTATTCAAATGCTCTAGTCACAGATTCAACCACAGCCTATTAAAAAATTTTTCAAGTTCATATTAAAGTTCATATTTTAAAAAATTGTTTTTCTATCTGTTTATTAAATTTCCATTCTCACCTTTTTCAAATGTCCCGTTGATGTACCCAAAAATGCCACTGTATAATCGTGCGTAGAGATTGCTGCTACAGCTGTCAATAAAACTCCAGAAAGGCGCAAAACTGGTGACGCCTTAACTGGATTAGTACCTCCTAATGGAGTATTGACATCTAGTCCACAAAAGTCATCTTTAATTTGAACTTGCTATTGAAAAAAAGAGAATGTTTTATATTTTTCAAATTAATACTAATAATAAATTAATTAACAAATAATCAATTCTTATTTACTACATATTGCACATAAATTATTACATAAATCATTTTGCTTTAAATCTTTAAATGAAAATTAGAATTTAACATGTTTATACATTACTAAGAAATTTTCTTATAATTTGTGTTAATTCAATAGCTCAAAAAATATATTTTATTATTACTAGATGAATAAAGATAATTCTGAGAAATGTTCATTAAGCCATTTATTAGGAATTTATCCTTGGGTCATTCTCACAAAAGAGACAATCCAATGCCCCAAAATTTTGTTGTAGATAAAGGTATGCAAAGATGACAAAAATTTGAATATGTACTTTATGTACTCAAGTCCAAAATAAATGCTGACAGAAATCAACACAACAAAGTTTCAAGATTGGGTTTTTAAATATCAAAAGATTGGGTTTTTAAATAGATGGTATATTGAAGGAATTATTATGATTACAAGGGAATGACTGCCAACTATTAGGAAATAATTACTACATAATCATTACTTCTGTTCATGATGCATGCACAATGTCATTTTGCAATGCGAAGAATAACATGCAGTGCAAGGCACTTACAGTTACAGTTAGGAACTAGGGAGACTTGGGTAGGAGTAATGTAAGTAACTAAATTAAGAAAAACAACTACAGATGACCTAGCTCATTTGGATATTGGAGACGTGTATGAATACGAATCGTACAAGCAAAGAAAAAAAAAGAAAAAGGTTGACAGGTTGTGCACGATATTCCTGAACAAAAGTAACAGTTCACCCAGACAGTGAGTCGATTCCTCGACTGTCCGGCTGAAAACCAAACAAGTGGTAACACTAGGTGCGACAAAAATATGAAATGAAATGGTTCAAATTTTTACATGATGATATTATTATTTATTGTGAAATTTGCCACCCATTAAAAGTGCTGCCCCACTATGCTATGCCACTGAATTTATGCAGTTAGAAAATCTCAGCAAACACAAAATACTCTTTTCTGTTGCAAGGAGCTAGTGATTGCATTTTTGAGTACATTGCTGAAGTTATATTCACATGTCAAAATGACCTCTGTCAGAAAGAAGTCTTCTGGACATTAGCAGCATTAGCTGAGCTCTGCAACATATTCTCAACTCTATTTTTTGTATTAGGTCCTTGTTGCTTATATGTGATGATCCTTGCTGCAGCAGTCCTTCCATCTCTTCTTATATCTCGGCATGTTCAGCACAAGCCAGAGCCACCTTTAACTGTTTATTCTCCGTACAAATCTTGGTTCTCTCTCTCCAAACATGTTCCTCTCTGCTTCATGTTTGGAGTGTGAGTGCATGTTATCCTGGACCTGTGGTGAATGAAGCTTCTGTTGCTGCTTCAGGTGGTGATGATGGAGAGTTTTGTGTCAATATCTTTGCTAACTGCATTCTGCTCTCTGTCTCTAACTCAGAATTTGCATGCCACTACTTTTGTTTACATCTGAGTTCATGTCTGCCACTACCTCAACTTGTTTCTTTTTTTTTATGTCTTATTTCAATTTCTCTTTTTCTTGAAGTTTTACTTCACTAAGTACTCAAAGAATTTTATTTTCTTCAGTACTGGATTATTTTTCATCATCTCTCTTCTCCTCCTGTCATACTTTCTCCTCTTTGCCTTGGTTTCTGAAGGTTTGATATTATTCTTCTTTAGTCCCATTGTTTACAATGTATCATATTTGATGCTACAAAAGAAAGCAAGTCAATCAGAATTGAGGGGCAATTCATTATCACTGTTATTTAAAAGTAGATTTAAATAGACTGAATGTCATTCCCTTCAGCTCACAATCATTCCCTCACCTATCATATAATAATGGAATGACAAAATTGAAAAAAAAGGCAGTTTCTTCAATTTACCATTTCTCATGGTTTTTTTTTACTACTTCATTAAACTGCTCTTTGATAAGATTCTATCAACCAGAACTACAATTTTCATAATTTGAAAACGATTATAAAACTATTTAGTGGGAGAATGACAATCAATTAAACTATTTACCCATAAGAGAAGCTGAAATATGCTGTAATATGCAAACCAACATAATCAAGCAGCAAAGAGTGCTGGAACCTCTTCTTGCTGATGCATTGTGGATAGGGACTATATTAATTAAACAGCAAGAGCCTCTGTTGACTTATGTAGAAAGCAACAAATCCTTGTAAGAGTTATTTTTTTGACCCAGATTACAAATGAAAGTTTTTATTTTCATAAAAGTACATGAAAATATATCTGTATACATTTCATCTATAATTAGGCATTACTTACATTAAAATAAGTTGTTACTATGTATACATTTATGTATGATACATAAAAAGCACAGACAGGCAGGTATTTGTGAGGTAATGACATGCAAATACATGCATCTGAATTTTCAGCCTTTAAACTATTAGTGAAAATCACTTATAGCATATATCATGACTATAATGGAAGTGATGTTCACAATGCAATGTTTTCTACTTTCAAGCTAAAACTTTTCTGAGTTATAAACTGAGGACACCAAATTGTCCACTTTTGTGAGAATGAACACCTTATAATAATTAGTGTGTTTTGTAATTTACTGTAACCAGTGCTTTTTTTGTCATAGAACACAATGGAACAGCATTCCACACCTTTTTTCGATATATTTTAAAAGTTTTAAGAGAATTTTTGAAAATTTGATGTTTGGTCCGCGTTGAATCACTCTTTTGAGCATAGAAGATCGGAGACAAAATTATTAAGATGATCCTGCTCCTGCTTCTGTGCCGAATCTTGTGTACGATGCATGTAATATATTTTTAGTAATGAGATGAGTGTTTCACCACCTTTTTTTTTTCTCCAAAAAAAGCATTGACTGTAACCATTAGTGATGGGACAATACCAAAATTTCTCCCAATTCTAATTCTTTTGAATACTTTGTAAAGTTTATTCTATTTTTAAAAAATTAATGACTTATATTATGAGCATGCTATATCCATTAATTAATAAACATAAAGCTTAAGAATGGAAAATGATTGAGAAATCCAGAATCAACCTTTCTAAAGAAACCTGAAAATTCTCCATTTATATGTGTATATGCATGCTTTTACTTGAGTACTACAAAATAAATTTGCAATTTTATTTCAGACAAAGTTAATATTGTAACACTATTCCCCAAAGAAATTATAACTAATTCCCTTATACTCAAAGAACTATTCCATCATGTCATTTAGGGTTGCTAGCTTTGTAAATTGCTTCATTGGTTGACAGAATGATCAGGGAGAGGAAAAGTAAATGAAAAGATACACTTGTTTTTTCATGATTCTCACAATTGGGATTCCTAATAAATGCTTTAATTCCATCATATTTAACACTGAATGAGGTTCTGCAAATGATGCAATGAGCTGAACAAATATCAGCATGAGTTACAGATTTTTGAATTCATTCACTTGAGCCCAGTTTTCCTAAATGTACAATTGTATGAACTTTTTTAAAGGAAAAGAAAAATCAGATAAATATCTAGATTGACTCATCATAAAAAATCAATTTTTAAAACTCAAAAAAGCAGTAGAATTAGTATAAACAAGTAGTTTTACTTAGAATTGCATAAATCACATTTGAAAATGTAACATACTACAGCATCATCTGTGAATCATAACAAAAACTTTCCATAATTATAATGAGAAAGTTGCTTTATCATTATAAGTAAACATACTAAATATTAAAAATAATTTTATATATTTTTTCAATTAAAATATAACTATGCTTATATTTTAAACTCCTTTTCTGATACTTAAATATTTTTGTCGACCTCCAGCCTTGACTTAAAATTGCCAATCAAGCCACCCAATACAGGCCAGGTGGCAACCCTATGTCACCCTATCTCCCCTAAAATGGGGACCAAGTAGTTACTGACCAAGTGCAATCTCTAATCACTCAGACTACATAAATGTAAAGTCTGCCATGACAGGTATCACCTTGTGCATGGGGTATTGTGTATTCTCTGCTTTGTCAACATGAAGTTAGTTACCAATAAACTAATACTTACATACCAACCAATGCCAAATATTATAGAGTTAGAAACAGCTATAATATTAATAATTTATGAGAGAATTTGGCACTAGAGTTAGGCGTTAGGCACCATCTCTTGGTAAATTTAATAATTATAATTTTAATTAAATAATTTAGAACTACTGGAAGAAAAGAATCAACCCAGAGCAGGACTCAAACCCACAACCCCTGCTTATTGTGCAGATGCGTTGCCAATTATACAACTCAAACCTCCAGTCAGATCTCTTCCAGTATACAGGGTGTATCAGAATGACGTTTTTAAAATTTGAGGGATTGTAGAGGATGAAATTTTGAACGTTTTGATATAAGGAACCTATAGCCAGAAATGTGATATAAAGTTTCTACAGCACTTTGCACATTCTATGCGGTCGGTATGCACAATGGCATTCCGTCGAGCTTCACCATAACACAAATGCATATCAGCAAGTTCTCCAAATGTGTAGTTACCCTCAATGACGCCAGAAAGTATCCACAGTATGTGAATCACAATAAACAGACAACTGTACACTGACTTACATTGACTAGCTGTGTGTTTACAGCACAGCACCAGTGGATGCAAGGGGTGACCTGAAGAACGACAAGCACTAAGTACACAACATCCTATATACAGGCTCAGTTAGACAACTGTAGTTGTGTTTACAGTCTTCCATCCACAGCAATAACATGACATCAATGGATGGAAGGGTAGCTACCTAAGTGAAGGATGGTCAAGCACTTCCTACCACTGTAGACTCTAGTTCAAATTTCTGGCTACAGGTTCCTTATATCAAAACATTCAAAATTTCATCCTCTACAATCCCCCAAATTTTTAAAACGTCATTCTGATACATCCTGTATATAAGGTTATGTAATAACCTTATTTATACTGGAACTGGTAACGCATCTGCACAGTAAGCAGGCATTGAAGATTCAAGTCCTGC